TTTTTTTTTTTTTTTTTTTTTTTTTTGGTACCAGGGGTCAAACTTGGGGGTCCAGAACCACTAAGCTAAATCCCCAACCCTCATTATGGCTGAGTAGTAGTACTCCATTTTATGAAAAAAAACTACATCTTTATCCAGTCTCCTTAAACACTTTGAACTTTTATTTTGCAGACCAAAGAGGCAGTCTCCCTCCAGCCCATTGAAAATGCCCACGTCTTGCTACATTTGGGAGACGCTGTTACGACAGATCACATATCGCCGGCTGGAAGCATTGCTAGGAGTAGTGCTGCTGCCAAGTATTTGACAAACAGAGGGTACGTGTATGTGGTTTTGAGGCGACCTTGCTTCACCTTTCTCACTAGTTAAAGGGCTTCTGCTGCTGCTCATGTTGCTTTATCCAGTAAATGAATGCCACCTTAGATGTCTGATAGTGTACAGATATTCTTTGTACATTTCTGTATATCTTGGCTTGTAGAGCCTTAAAATCTTTTTGTACACCTTATGTAGTAGTGTAATTTTTGCTTATTGTACGGTACAGTACAATACTGTAGTTTTATGTTCTGTTATACAGTATAATACGCATGGAAAAGTTATGCCAATAAAGCAAACTCATCAAATTGGAGTTTTCTTTGTTCTGAATATTATAATGTGCATAAAGTATACAATTCCTCATTTAGTGACCAATTCAGTTAACAACCTAGTTGTGGGAACAAAATTTGGTCATTAAAAGAGGAGTGTCTGTTTAACTTGAGCCAGAACTGGAGCACCTGTAACAGTCTTGTCTTGTAACTTTAGAAACTGAAGTTGCTATTTTATATTGAGCCTTACAGTCTAAACAAAACAACTGATTAGATACAGGGTTTTTCTTTTTCAATGATACGTTATTGAAAAATGAGCTTTTGATACACCAAATGAAGTCTGGTCATTGGGTTTTAACTAGCTTCTCATTCTGTTATGGGCTGTAAAATGCTCACTCGTAAGGCCATGGTTGATGTATATCGAGTCAGCTTCTGTACTTTTTTGTCAGTTGAAATTTTTATTATTTTTATTAGTACATCTTTGCAGTACATAATTGTTACATTGAGTGTTAGTACAGGTATAGAACACATCTTAATTCTTTTTATTTCTCCCTCCTTCTCCCCCCACCAACTTCTGTTGAGCCTAAAATTTTATGGTAATAATATGAATAAGTGCCATTTGTATAGGAAGATAAATCTAAAGCTAGGGTTTATTTCATTTCTATGTTCTAGTAACTGTTTTGATATAAGACATAGTGAAGGCAAAATTTGCCTTACTAATGCTTGATTAGCCTTTGGTATTTAAGCAATTCAAATGATTGAATTTTTCATTATAATTATAAATCAGGGCTATAGAGTTTGATTCAACATGTAATACTACATATTTCATAGCTTATTACAGGGTGGTTAAAAAATTAAATTTTCTAATTTTTTTGGTTGTGATTTCTGTCTTGGTCATAATTGTGACACAGCTTTCCAAAAGAAAATGAATTACCACTTCTCTCAAGTGCTCAATTTTTATGTTTGTTGTAATTTCTTGAGCACATTTAATCCAGTAGTTATCAGCTAGAGTTTTCTAAAAATAGATACCCAAACCCCCACCCCTCCTGACCTAAATAAAGTTTAATTGTACAGATGTAGAGTATTGTTGCCTCTGCCTGAAAGACTAAATGAGAGGCTGATAAAAATCATTTCTTGATTGTGTGTGTGTGTGTGTGTGTGTATACCAGGATTAAACTCGGGTCCTTGTGCTTGCAAGGCAAGCAGCGGCACCACTGAACTAAATCCCCAACCCAGTTATTGATATTAAGATACTTCTGTTCCTTTGTTTCTTATCCCTTAAAAAAAGTCATTGATATATTTAACCCAGGGGGGATGAACATCCTTAGCACTGAGTGTGGTTCCTGAATACCATTTCCCAGTGCAGACCACCAGCACTACTTAGAAAAAGGATTGCTTCCGGATCTGGGACTGGAAATGTGTGTGTAGCATAATTCAAGACTCCTTAAGCCCAAAGGAGGAGAGCCACAGGGCACCACCAAGCTCTGTCTGGAGGGCTCATGAGCTGACTTGAATTTGTCACTGCTCATAGGTGGGACATGTTGAACATCAATAGGAATAATAGTGGAACGGGCTGAAACATAATAGATACAATAAAAAAAAAATCCAGGGTTCATTTGATCCTGAAAGGAAAAAAAGCAGAGGTTAACCATTTTTGATACCTTTCCCAGATGGTAGAGAAGTAGCTCATTATTTGGAACACTGGCAATCAAATCAAATCTTTTTTTTTTTTTTAAAGCAAATCAAATCTTTAACCAGCTGTTTTTGTATGGAATGTGCATCAGTTAAACCAAATCACTCAAAGGAAAGTTTGTCTTTATAGAAGTTTTCCAGCCAGAAAATTTAGAGAGAATGATTGAATTAGAGTATTATAGCATTCTCTAATGAAATAATAAATTAAACAATGATAAGCAGTCACTGCTAACATTCCAAGAAAAGACAGTTGTATGACACATGCCTCCCAACGGAAGTACATAAAACTGCTAAGCATTGTTGCTAGAAATGTAAAAACCTAAATCTTATTAAGTCACTGGATCTGATATCTAATTCACAACAAGGTAAGAAGACAGCAAACCCTATTGAAAGATAGCCTGGGGATACAGTCAACACAATTTACCATAGGCAAAGAAGACTAAAACACATGCCTTACCTGGGTATGGTGGCACTCACCTAAAACCCCAGCACTCTGGAGAATGAGGGAATGGATTGCACATTCAAGCCCAGCCTGGGCAACTCAGCAACTTAACGAGACTCAGTCTCAAAATGTTTTTAAAAGGGTCAGGTCCATAGCTCAGTGTGAAGGTTTTAGGTTCAATCCCTATGAGCCCACCCCCACCCCCAAGTATGGAAAAATTAGGGACATTTGTTTGTCAACTGGCTGATATTTAAATATGATATCTAAATTCTGCCTCAATTTTACATTTACAGGGTTGACTATAGAAGAAAGAGTATCCTTGAATATAGTGTAGCACTGTCATTATTTTCCACCTGGAATGAAAACTGATTTTTATAACTTTCTTTTAGCCTTACCCCTCGTGAATTCAACTCTTATGGAGCCCGAAGAGGTAATGATGCAGTGATGACAAGAGGCACTTTTGCAAACATCAAGCTTTTTAATAAGTTCATTGGAAAGCCAGCTCCAAAAACAATTCATTTTCCATCAGGACAGACGGTAAAGATGTATATAAAGTATTCAAGCAGTTGATCTCTTGATCAAAATGTATATTGAAGAATTTTGTATCTGTTTAATCTACAGCTAGATGTATTTGAAGCTGCAGAGCTGTATCAGAAAGAAGGCATCCCACTGATTATTCTAGCAGGAAAGAAGTATGGTTCAGGAAATTCAAGAGACTGGGCTGCCAAAGGACCCTATTTACTGGTTTTTGTTTTTTTTTTTTTTTTTTTTTTTTTTTTTTTTTTTTGGTAAGTATGGATTCTTAATAATACTCCTTTTTATCAGCAATAGCCTGTCCAAGTTTACTTACTTGTATTTTTTTATGTTTTGGTTTTGAGTTTGTTTGTTTGTGACAGGATCTTGCTAGGCAGCCCAGGCTGGCCTCAAACTTTTGTCGGTCTTCCTGCCTTAGCGTCCCAAGAGCTAGGATTACAGACACGCGCCACCACATTTGACATTTTTTTATGATTTGCATCTTTACTTTATGAGTTTCGTTTTTATTATCTTGAATGGTATTTTGTACTCGTCTATTTGCATGTTATACTCTGGATGTGAGTCAACCTAATTCTTTCCTTATGTGTGGAAGTCAGTATTATGGATGGAAAGGGAATTCTCTCTTTTAATTTCCTGATTTGCTCCATTGGAAATTAAGAGACTTAAAGTTTTACACCCCCCCATAGGACCTGATAGTGCCACTTCTCTCCAGAGTGTCTCTCTGTCTTGGGTGGACAGACAGTCTGCTGTGGAGTTACATCCCAGATAATGTTGCATTCTGTGTTGTAGGAGGGGACTGTTGTGAAGCTGTCTAGCAGTGATCCTTAGCTGTCTGTCCAGTTAGACACTGAAAAACTGAATGTAGGCTGGATCTTTTCAGTTAGGGCCTCACTGTAGACAATGGGATTATAAGCTGCTTTCCCCTTCGGACACCTGTCATACTGTTCACATTTGCTTTGAGGCCATTTAGTCTCTTGAAGGAGGCACACTCACAGTGTCAGCTCGGTCTCAACTTCCAATCTGGTGTTCTTAATCCTGTGTTCTTCAGGCTGGTAAAGCATGTGTCTTGGTCCCCGGGGAGCAAAAACTGTTCCTTACCTGGTATAGGTGATATTTACCTATATAAAATACAGATAAATAGTGCATAAATACACAGTATATAGATTAAAAGTTTGAAGGGATTGGTGAGGAAGATGAAGTGATTAAGGAAGAAAAATGCATCTTAAAAGGCACCTTAGACAATAGCAGAAGAGTTGTGAATCATAGGTCAAGAACCTCTGTAGCTCATTTTTCTCCAGGGAATGAACATTAGTTTTCAGGACTGGAGGCTGAGCTAAGGGTCTCACCAACCTGTATAGACTCCTAACCAGAACGCCCAGTGCTCCATGAGTCTGGAAGCTTTCCTGGGTTCTGCGTTGCACATTGACCCACAACTTACTGAAACCACTCTCCAATTTCAGTTCATCATTCTGCAGTTTCAACAGTTTGCTAAGTCAGTTCCTGTTTGTATTTACTAAATACTTAACACAATTTTTTCGCCCTGTTTATTTTGTTGCTGTGGGTTTGTATCTTCTTTTTCTTCAAGTATTACCTTAAGATAAATTGTTGGTTAACATATGCTGGACTAACTGTGAGTCATTTGAGGGTGAAACAGCTGCCCCACTTACCCAGCTCCTGTGTGGTGGGCTTGGGCAGCTCTGGGCCCTGGAGTGACTAGGGGGAGGCAGGGGAGGAGACAACAACACAGGAAGCTCTTTAAAAACACAGAAGTCACCTATGAATGGATTATGTAAATGTTATTGATACAACATTGACCAAAGTATAGGGTATTAGATAAATGTATTCTGAAAATCCAAAGTAGATGTTTTTCCTTTTAAAATGCTCAATAAATCCACTTTTCAGAAGTGATTAGAGGAAATAAAATACATATATGTTGCAGGGTGTAAAAGCTGTTTTGGCTGAAAGTTATGAAAAAATACATAAAGATCACTTGATCGGAATTGGCATAGCTCCACTTCAGTTCCTTCCGGGAGAAAGTGCAGACATCCTGGGCCTTTCTGGCAGAGAGACGTTTTCTTTAACGTTTCCTGAAGAACTGTCTCCTGGAATTACATTAACTATAAAGGTATCTCTAAAATTCTCATATGTGATTGTGCACTCTTTGCTCAAATAGATGGTTGTAAATTGACTAAAGATGGTTAAAAATTACATACTTACATTAGTTTTAAAAAGTTGTAGTTTGAGATGGCCCTGTTGCCTGTGTACTGTGATGTTATACAGCTCATGTTCTCTGAGGTGAAGTAAAGAGAACTGAATTCTTAGTGCAGGAGAAAAATGTGGAGGGGCATCTTGACTAATTGCACAGGCTAGTTCTCTCATACTGGTTCTCAGCTCTTTCTGTTTTAACCCAAGGGCGTACTCCAAAGAGCAGGCAAAAGCTGAGCATTCAAGGTTAGAGTGAGACAACTAAGGGAAAAAAGGAAGAATGGCAAAAATGAGGCCCAATTAATATTTAATGTAAAATGAATGTGAATAGTGACTAGTAACTCAGATAATAATTCAAAATCTAAATCCTTTGTGTGTTCTATATAGTATAATATTTCTCATTTAAAATTAGAGATAAAAATACCTCTCTTTAGCTGGACGTGGTAGCACATGCCTGTAATCCCAGCTCTCAGGAGGCCAAGGCAGGAGGATCGCTTTGAATTCGAGACCAGCCTGGGCTACATAGTGAGTTCCAGGTCAGTCTCAACTACATAGTAAGACCCTGTCTCAAAAAAACCTTTTTCTACTTAACTGTAAAGCCCTTGGTCAGGTATCTCAGGTGCTTTTCAGGCAGCAAAAGAGCTTCAGGCAGTCAGAATTTAAGAAATTAGAACCAGGAAAATCAGAGAAAATATATGGCAGTTAGTCATTGAATATGAACATAGATATCTTAACCAGTAAGTAACACTTAGAAGATTTTACCCCTCATATGAGATGTTTTTGTTTGTTTAAAGACAAGTACTGGAAAAGTATTCAGCGTGATTGCTTCATTTGAAAATGATGTGGAAATAACACTGTACAAACACAGAGGATTATTAAACTTTGTGGCACGGAAATTCTCCTAGTATCTGCTGGCCATGGATCTTCAGAAACTTAACTTCAAAGCCTTCTGTGCTGGACCAGGAATCCTGGCATGGAGCTGCAGTGGTCCAGTGCACTCACCTCTGTCATCCTTGGTGTAAATGATTATGAATCACAGTAGTGACTGCAATGAAATCTTCTTGATCTTAAATCATACAAGAATGGTGCTATTAACATTGCTAAAATCAACGTGTGACGTGTGTTGTGGAAGAAACCTGTAAGTATGGGTGGGTAGGGATATTTTATCAGACCATTTTGTAAATAAAGGCAGAATTTGAACTTGTGTTGAAGATTCTTACATGAATAACATTGTTTGTTTAGTTTTGCACCTATAAAACTGTACTACTGTTTGTTGGTTGAAGAGTAGCAGATTGAAAAATAAGAAGCCAGAGTAGATTTAAATTGTGGAAGTTAGAATCTGGTTTATAAATGGATTTTTTTTTTTTTTTTTTTTTTTTTCCCGGGGT